ACAACCAGAGGAGTCGCCCCCTGGTGGACACTAGAGAGAATGCAAGTCTCAGGCACTTTAACGTTGGCTTTACTTTTCAGACCCAGAGTTTGCTGCCTGGTTAGGGTCGGGTTGAAAGAGAGGTGGTTTAGGGTTATTGGGGTTAAGTATTTAGTTGTAATGGTCAGAAGGGTCAGGGTCAGGGAATGTATTATGACAACGAGGGTCTTCCCGAGTATACAAAGACAAAAGTGTATGTGTTTGTGTGTGCAGGTTATAGTCCAGAGGTCTCTGTCTGCCAAGTCTTTGTCTCATGCTAAAGGTGGCAGTGTGCTTGGAGGCTACCTCAAACTGCTGCCCATGTTCTTCATTGTCATGCCGGGCATGATCAGCCGATCACTGTTCCCAGGTCAGTCCATCTCTATTGGACTGTTATGCCAAATGCTTCTGTTCAAGCACATGCATCATTTTGATTTGATCATTACCTCATTAAACCAGCCAATCATTTACTAAAACATATTTCCATCCATCGTTACATTTATTGATGGAATTTAGCATGAGATTGTACACAGCTTTCTTTAACAGCTTTCAAAGTGCAGATCCAGAGGGAAACTCCACACATCAGCACACAGGCAGCACAGACATCATGCTCACTGTGCGTGATGATGTCTCTGGAGGTTGACTGTGTTATTATGAGTAATGGTCAGAAATAGATCCACAATCTAAAACACCACAGCTTTTTTAAAGTAAGGTACATCTTTTAATGAATGACTACTCAAACTGTGTATCCAAAAGGTTGGGAGCTTTGTTCTAAAACATGAAGAAGCAGGACAAATACGTGTAACTAACTCACTGCATCTTATACGCTCTGTGTGTGTGTGTGTACAGATACGGTAGGTTGTGTGGATCCAGCAGTGTGTCAGAGTGTGTGTGGAACTTCAGTTGGCTGCTCCAACATCGCCTACCCTAAACTAGTGGTGGAGCTAATGCCTGTGGGTGAGTTGCACACACAAGCACACACACGCACACACACACACGCACACACACGCACACACACGCACACGCACGCGCACACACGCACGCACACACACACACACACACACACACACACACACACACACACACTAGGCTTGGCCAAAGTCAGTGTCGAGAACTCTTCTCTCCATGTTTAGGTTTTTTTACTTTCAAATCTTGCACCTTGCACTCAGTTGTAATTGACTTTAGCTCTGTCTGTTAATCCTTCATCTCTGGTGTGAGGACATATTAGGAGAAACTAAAGATCAAACAATATTTCAAATTCAACTCAAATAGTAGTGTATAGAGCTTTATGTAAAGCACTGTAGTGTACTGTGGTATACATGGATTGTAAATATAATCTGATACATCTTGAAAATATGACAATTTATGAAAGGAAACCGTCAGAGAACTGTTGCAGTTCGACAACACAACACAAAAAAAGTCGTATCATTGGAAATTCTTTATTAGTAATAAGCCTTTGAAATGTACCATCTCATTTTCAAAGGGGTCATCAATGACAATGATACAGTATAAGCACAAAAACAATTATAAATATCAAATAATAATCATCCCAGCAGAGAATGAAAATGGATCATTCATTCACAGATTATAGAAAAGTATTCATACCAGGGATATTATGACTATTATTATGTTATGACTGTTTCATAGACAGGTTAAGTCAAACCTGACTTAGTTTCATTTGCCATATGAATTTGAAGTAAATACACATTGAGTGAAGGACAACTGGCCAACAGTAAGGAGGACCCTAAGGCACAGCAGGAAGGTTGAGATTATCAGCAGTTCCACTGGATCAAAGTCTAAAATACGAGCTTACAGAGAGACAAGACAAGCAGCTTCTATGGTCTAACAGTGAGTCAGGAGACCGGTTTCAGTGAGCAAGAGCTGCAGCAGCAGGAAAGTTGTTTTGACCAGCGGTTCTCAACCTGGGGAGCTGTCCCGAGATCCTGACAGTCACTGGGGGAACGTCTCTGTCGTTATAACGCGATGTGTCTCTCCACACAAAGAAGAGATGTGAGGAAAAGATGTGAGGAGAGAAAAACTGAAGATGTTAGTTCAATAAGGAGAGACAAATCAGATCAAGAAATAGAATTGTTTATTATTAACAGATGATATGTGATGATAAATTCTGGACTGTGATGGAGGGCGTCTGCTCTGAGCAGCAGCAAGATAAACCCCGATATCAAACCTATAGGCCACCTCTGCCCAAAACAGTAAACAGAATATAAGATGTTGGCCTCTGTTAGACATGTCAAACCTCTACTAACATCATACGTGTGTTTAACGTGCTCCAACACTCAACAGCTGTGTGTTTCCTGAGCTATTCACTGCTTCTGCGTTAGTATTGTTTTTTTCCTTATGTAAATAGATTAATGATCAAATAACACATGTGTAGAATGTAAAGGTCTTTTCAGATCAAACACAAACAACTTAAAAGTTCAAACACATCTATTTCTATGAGCCTATATCCAAACAGAACTGGAAGCTTTCGTGTGTAATGTTGAGTGTGAGTTTATTACAGTAAAAACAATAATGACAACAATGACTGTCAGGGTGTGAAACTTTCATTTTCGGTGGAATGCATGAACACGAATACTTCAAAAAAAATCAAAAAAAATCAAAACAAAAATCAAAACAAATATTTACTATACATCAAAATGCTTCACCTGATATCTCACCTGGCTGGTCCTTCTGTCTGTGCAGGTCTGCGTGGTCTGATGCTAGCAGTGATGCTAGCTGCTCTGATGTCATCTCTGACCTCCATCTTTAACAGCAGCTCCACTCTGTTCACACTGGACCTCTACCACAGAGCCAGGCCTGGAGCCTCAGAGAGGGAGCTCATGATAGTTGGAAGGTAGGAGTGATACAAGACTGATACATGTCCGAAAAAACGCCCCTTGATGCAAAGCTGAGATTTGGTTGTATAATTAAAATTGCAACTGACTCAAAAACCAACACAAGAGTGTCTCTTTATCTCTCTGTGCACTGTTGGTCCTGTGTGTGTTGTTCCAAACCCCAACGTTCCCACTCTGTAAAAAATGTGGGTTCACTGCTGCTTCACATTTACCAAAAGGGTCTTCCAAATTAGAACCGAATCCAAAATGTCATGAACCAGGTATACGTAAAAAAAAGAAAAAAGTTGTTCTGCTTATCGGTTCCTAAGCAGCACATTAAGAGCTAACGGGAACCTCTTGGTTTTGTTTCGGCTGCTCTATTTCTGCTTCCAGCGATCTATAAACCTGTTAATTCCAAGCCTCCATTGCTGGATGTACTGTTTTCTACATGGGGACTCGCTGTTATAACATCTCGTCACTTTGTAAATAAAAATCTCTATCGATTAAAATGTAGTTATCTTGCGCCCTTCTTATAGAAATATTTTAGCTGGTTTTCACACATTTAAGAAACCTGCATAGATGCACATATTTAGTCATAAACAGTAGATGAGTCTGGAGAAGTGAAGTGTGGGCTGAACTGGGATCATGGTAAACAAATAGATCATTTTTATTGTGGCTTCTATTCCCATGCTTGATTAACCCAGTACTGTAATTCATCCTTTGTTTTCAGCAGTAGAGTGAAGTGAACTTGGGAGAAATCCTAAATATATGTGATGTTGTCTGTAGTGGAGTGGAACAGGTGTGTCTCTACGGAACCTCTCTCAGTGGCCATGACTTCACCTCAGCCAAACTAGTTTGTGTATTTCCAGGGTGTTCATCCTGGTCTTGGTGTGTGTTAGTCTGTTGTGGATTCCGGTCATCCAAACAGCCAACAGTGGACGGCTGTTTGATTATATCCAATCAGTGACCAGCTTTCTAGCTCCGCCCATCACTGCTGTATTCCTAATGGCTGTCTTCTGGCCACGTGCCAACGAGCAGGTAGGTCTCACTCACACACACACATGAATTTAAGGAGCCAAATTTACTTTTTAGTAAATGTACTTTTATTTAGGAAGACGCACCCTGTACATGTAAAGGCAGATTTTGTTAAGAGCAGTGAGCGAGGACCCAAACACAGGCAGAGACACAGGGGAGGAGGTTTTAAAGAGAATGGGATTTATAGCTGGGGTTGAAGATGGAGAAGGGGACATGATGAGGAATGGCGAGCGTGGCTGGACCCGAGGGGGGGATGGTTGACGAGCGGTCGGGTAAGGCAGGCAGACTGGAGAAGCAGATGTGGCAGTGATCCTTAGACAGAGGACAAACAGTGAGCGGCTGAGCACAAGGTCAAATCCTCAAAAGAATGAACTCTAGAGGAGCCTGAGATGGGATTCTAGATGAGTGATGAGTGGGTGAAGAGCCAGAGCCAGAGCACATGAACTGCAGAGATGACGAGCTGATGAACGACAGATGTGTGAGCTGAGGGGTTTGATGAGCTGATTGCAGGCAGGTGTGAAGGCAGACTGTGCCCAGGACAGCAGGACAAGAAGAGACTCTCACACACACACACAAACACACACACACACAGACAAGGACAGGAATTTAGCAAACACGTGTCAATGTCCGCTCGTTACATGAATACAGTCTTTTCAAAATAAACTTCAGTCTTCAAGGAAACAACTCACTTAGGTTTAGAAAAAACAACAACTATGTAGGTTTAGGAAAACATCATTTGGGTTAAAATAACTACAGAAGTGGTCCCACCTCCTTCTCACCAGTACTGTGTGAGTTTTTGTGGTCTTTCTATTTCCTTGTTTATGATTACGTAGATTACATATGAAGTGATTTTGTAGGATATCTAAGAATTCCATTCTCCTGACCGCTCATCCTATTCAGGGGCGCTGGAGCCGATCCCAGCTGACATTGGCAAAGGCAGGGTACACCCTGGACAGGTCTCCAGTTTATCGCAGGGCACATATAGAGACAGACAAACATTCACGCTCACATTCACGGGCAATTTCAAGTCTCCAAATAACCTAAGCTGCAAGTCTTTGGACTGTGAGAGGAAGGCGTTCTCCCCCAGACAGAAGATCAGGGATCGAACCCGGGCCCTCTTGCTGTGAGGTGACAGTGCTCGCCGCTACACCACCGTGCAGCCCTACTAAGAATTGCAGCGTGTTCATTTTCCTAGGTTTAGCTACGTCTGATACCGCTGCACCGAGGCACCCTTTAGTGTCTGTATGACACGCACTAGGCTTTCAATTAACTACGATGTCAACCCATCCAAGTCATTATTAGACTCTCAGAGCAGCTGCTGTAGTATAAAGATGGACAAAGTCCTCTAAGGGCAGGTGGGAGGAGAGATTGTGTGTTCAAACAAACACAGGACTTTGACTCAGTTGAAAGCTGATCAAGTCCTGTGTGAAACCAAGTCAGTGTTGAGGTTTTAACGTAGTTTTGTTACATAACTTCCGTACTTAACTAATGCCAGTTACGTTAAAAAAAAGACTTATTTTAACCCAAACCACGATCTTTTCCTAAACCTAACCAAGTAGTTTTGTTGCATTAGTAAACCTAAAGACGAACTAAACCTACGATGGAAGTTTATTCTGAAAAGAGACTGTATGCATGTAATGAGAGGAAACCGACACGACACCCAGACATGTCCGCAATGATTCTAGAGGGGAACCCAGACATGTCC